GATCAATATTATGTAAAAAGCTCAATTTTGGTCAGATGACCCCAGAGGTGGTTTTTGCTGTGAAACGTCCCATATATTACAATTTTTTTGTTGCACGGAATTTTTGCACAATTTTTACCAACGTTTATTGGTTGATTCTTGTGTAATCAAACTCGCACATTCCGCACATTGAATTTTATACAATTTTATTCAAAAAAAAAAAATCAAAATGAGTGATTTAGAAAATGAAATTCTTGAACTTATTGGCGGCGAGGGAAAAACTTCAACTGAAGCCACTACCTCTACCTCTACTTCTAATAGATCAGAAAAAAGAGTAAAAACTAAAAGAAAAAAAGCATTGTGAGTAGTAGATAGATGTGTGCATTGTTGAAAAGTTGTCCACATACATTTTGTAATACTTATTATTATATACATCTAGATCTCGTCGTGGTAATTATTCCGAAGAGGATGGCGATGCTAATAATAATAAATCTGAATCATTTGGACCAGATTTATATCATGATGATGTTGACAGAGAAAGGTATTTGTAGCTAGTAATTATACTATATACATCATTTTCACTAATATTTAATTGACAAGTTAATAAACTATTTGTTTAGGTTAGAAAATTTACCAGAGTTAGAAAGAGAGCAAATTCTTGCATCAAGAGCTGAAAAAGTATATTTATTTGATTTATGATTCATACACATCAAGATAAGAATAGTTATTTATTTAATTGATTGATTTTAGAGACAACATAATATGGATTTAAATGTTATAAAAAATTTATATGATGAAGATGATGTAATTGAAGAAGAAGTTGGTAGTTCAAAAAGAAGTATGTTTTTATATTATCAATATATATATATATATATATTATTCATCAAATATTTATTGATTGATTGATGGTAGGACCATCAAGAAAAAAGAAAGATTTACAAAAAGCAGATTTGGCAGAATTAAAAAGAAGACGTGCAGAAAAAGGAAAAATGAGACAAATTGTAAATATCATAGTAAATAAATAGTAATTATTATTGTTATTAAGTTGTAATTGTTTAATATTTATAGGGATCTGAAAGTCCAGAACCAGGAGAACATATTTCACAGGATGATGATGATGATGATGATGATGATGAAAGTGAAAATGGTGCTCTTTCAAGTGATGATTCAAATGATAAATCTCACAATGATGTAAAAAAAATAATATAATCATAGGTATAATATTTTTTTTTCAAAGCCATTCTCATTCTCATTCACATCAAATCATTTAGGATATTAAAATAGATGATTTAAAGAAAGTCCAGATTACACGTTCTCAAGTTGCTAAATGGATGTTTACTCAATATTTTGACAAGACTGTTATAGGAAGTTTTGTAAGGTTAAATATAGGAAATAAAGATGGAAGACAAATTTATCGCATTTGTGAAG